AAGATTCTACTTGAATAGTCGTATCTGATTAGATGAAATTATTCAATTGTAATTTTTTTTTTTTTTTAAAGATATTTTGGTAACCATCTAAAATCGATAATTTTTTTTGTTTTAATTATACAGGAATATAGAATCAGAATAAAAAAATTTTTATCAATTTTAGATAGATGGTTATCAAGATATCTTCACCCAAAGTTCGGAAAAAATTTTGCTATAACTTGTTTTGATAATTATTCAAGTTTTTTCTAAACTTTGAGCAAAAATATCTCGACAACCACCTACCTAAAATCGATGAAATTTTTTTATTTTAATTATACTAGCATATAGAATTGAAATAAAAAATTTCATTAATTTTAAATAGGTAGTTGTCAAGATATCTTTGCTCAAAGTTTGAATAAAATTTTGCCGCAGCTTTTGATAGTTATCCAAATCTTTGAGCGAAGATATCTCGACAACTACTTATCTAAAATTGATGAAAATTTTTGTTTTTAATTATTTATTCATATAGAATCAAAATAAAAATTTATATCAATTTTAGATAGGTGGTTGTCAAGAGCTTCCACAAAAAAAATGATAGCCAGATTTTTTGTTAGCTTATATCGATTTCAAAAACTGATTGCCGGTAAAGTTGTGTTTAAAATAATATTTGTTTTGATTTTCGTTTTGACGTTGACTTTCAATTTGATCTTCAATTTGACTTTCAATTTGACTTTAACTTTGATTTTAACTTTGACTTTCATTTTGACTTTCATTTTGACTTCCATTTTGATTTTCGTTATGACTTTTGTTTTGACTTTCGTTTTACTTTTGCTTTGATTTCGAGAATATTTACTATATTGAATTCACAAAATAAAGTACGTCATATTTTAAGCAAAACAACTCGTTTAAACAATAAAATATAATAACTCAAACCAAACATGATAATTAGTTATATCGCTAAAATTGTATATAGTTATTCAGTGCCTTTTATAATTCGTGTTAATTTGGATGGTGAGTGTAAAAGAACTTTTTAATTAACTAAAATAAGTGATTCAAATTTGTGAGCATTCACTTATTTGATTTGCATTAATCTAGCTAATTAAGTGAGTATATACTTGTTCACATTAATTTATTGTGAGTATGAAGTTTTTTATATATAACTATTATTGTATAGTGATGCTCATATCATTTTGTTTAGTTCTTGTTGTTAAGTAGAAAAATTAAGACTAAGGCGTTTGTACAATGTCAAAAACTTATTATCAACGAACTTAAAACACAAGCATTTTGATCGGAAATTAGTGAAATAAAATTTCAGAAATTCAGAACTGGATAATATATTTAAGATAAATATTGTTTTAAGAAAACAGCTAGTCAGTTCTCAGAATTGATTCTGGACAATATATGTATATGATTTTGTTTTATTAGTACTAATTCATTTGAGCATAAAGATCTTGATCGATCACTTAAATAAACTCTTTAAGTTTGCAATTCTACTTTTTATTTATTCTTGTTAATTTAGTGAGAAAATACAAAATTTAGTATTTAAAATAAATAAATGCTACTCATTTTTTATAATTCGTATAACTTAATTCTGTATAAAGATCTTTTAACCAATACATTAAAATTTATAAATTCTTAGACTTGATATCTATGTTAATTTAACTTGTAATTGGTGTATCAAAAGTAAACTACTTTATAGTATATAAAGATTCTATGAATTTAAGATAAACTGTTTAATTGCCTTATTTTAAGTATTATTTTTATTTATTTATTCGTTATAACTAAAAAAAATACAAGTTATTTTCATTGAATAAAAAAATGGTGAATTTACAAATAAGGGCCTGGAAAGTAAAAATAATTACAAATACGGGCCCAAATTAAAAATAATTACGTATAAGGGCGTAATTTTTTAAATTTTATTAAGCACACAAAAATGTAATGATCGATTGTAAATTAGTAATAATAAATGAGAAAATTTTTTAAATTTTAATAAATTTCATTTTCTTCGTATAAAATTGCATAATGTTATAACAAACTACTATGATGCCAAGTAAAGCACTACGAATTGGCATGCTATTTACTAATATGGAAGATATTCATTCAGCTCTAAAGGGCTACTCTGTTAAAACTTCTTTGCCTTATAAATAATTATACTAGTTTAACGTTATTTTTTACACAATATTTAATGAAAAATAATCATAACCAGAGCTTTATTTATCTTTTTATCTAATAATCGGTATATAATAACTATAAATACCTATAATAAAACAATTGATAATCTTATAATCATGATTTTGCAATCGTTATAAGTTAAATAGTCGTAGTTCTTTGTGGTACAATAATCCTGTAGGTCCTTATATGTAATTTGGGCCCATATTTGTAATTATTTTTACTTTTCAGGCCTTTATTTGTAAATTCACCTAATTAAAATCTGAATAATTAATATTTAACTCAAATCAAAAATTTATTTAACTCAGATCAGTAATTTAATATTTACACAGATCAGTAATTTAATATTTATCTCAGACTCATATATATCTATAAAAAATTTATATAGACATTAAAAAATCTGCAAATAATGATCGACATATATTACCCTAACTATATATCTATTATAGTATTGCACACCCTAATATCTCTAGATAGGCTACACTACACGATATACTTGGAAGATATATTTGGGTGTTCAGCATACTATGTAGATCAAATCTATTAGGTTTTATATCACATTTAATGAGATGACCTATAATATCAAAGATATTTAGAAAAAAATTTTCACTACCACTATATGTCATATGCACATATATCCAATTTCTTTATTTATTATGTGATATATACAATCAAATAGCTTGATCAAAAATATATTACTGATACATTAATGTTTCAACATTATTTCTTTTCTTATTTAATCATTAAATTCTAAAACAATTATTCTTCATTCTTTAAAAAATTCATCGTCGGCATAAAGAATATGCTGATTTTTTGGGTTATAATTTGACTTCTTTGTAAACCTTACAATAAGAGCTTGTCCTTTGTTTGTTTCAGCCTTCTAGGCCAAATCTATTTGATTAAGTTTGTAAAGATATACAAATTTAATTATGTTATCATTGACTACATATTGGCTTTGATAAGGAAAAAAATTTTTCAATTTTTTTCCTTAGCCTCAAGTTCGCTCAAGTTTTTATAAAAATCATTTAACATATAATAAGAAAGTCATAAAGCTTTAAAAAATCTGACAAGTTCTTTGGTTCTTTTTCCATCATCCTCTAGATAACCCATTATAAGAATAAAATCAGTTAACAGTTCTATTAGTAGTTTTTCAAAATATATCACACCAAGAACACATATCCAAGGCCCCAAGATTATTAAGATTATAGATAGACAACAAGAACTTTGTGAATATTAATAGTCTGTATGTAAATAATAAATTAGTATTGAATAAATACATAACTACAAAATACATATAAAATAAGAGGTTCATCAACAATTACTTTACTAAACACCCATCATACAGGTGACAATTAATGTTTAATGATTGTATACTAATTAGTAAACATTAATTGTCACTGATATGATAGGTGTTAAGTAAAATAATATTAACTTAAAAATAAAATATACTTTTGTCTGAGCCCAATATTTTGCATACTTGGATTATAGGATTTTTCTCTTCTGTTCCTATTTTGTTTTTAAATTTTCAAAAAACAAGTACAGCCTTTTCTCCAAAATTGGTGTTATATATTATTAGCAATAGTACTATTATTAGTAGACATGGATATTGGTTAAATTCTATCAAATAATAAGATAAAAAATAGTCAAAGTGTTTTTTGTTATTGGGATTCATTTTTATAAATTTTTCCTACTATTTGTTTTAGTTTTAATACTTGAATATGTTACTTTTTAGAAATATTTAATTTACAATTGTGATAGTCGATAAGAAACTAACTAAACACAGGATGAAAAAGAGTGACTAGTGGTCTATAACACTTGGGAGATCACATATTGTAAATTTTTAAAGAGTTCATATTATATTTTTTCCAGTTTTGTAGAAATGAAGAGGTTAAAAAGCAGGGCATGTTACATATTTCTTTAATATTATTAACTTGTTCTATAGTAAATATGCAAAATAAATAAAATAAAAAGGTTTTAAAATAAAAATAAAATAAAATAACAATAAATAAAAACCATAAAGTATTTTTTGGTATTTGTCAATCGATGCTAGTAGCTTATAGTCTTCTGTTTTGAATTTTAAAAATAGGCTATTAATATTATATAATTTTGTTGATAATGCTAGTTATTATGATACACACCAGTAGTAGGTATAATAACAACCAAATAGATGCTTAACTTAGAAATTTTATCATCAAATACATTGCGAATTCTCATTGCAGAAATTAATAATCTCTGTTTAATTCCAACATCATCAAGGGTTATGGCATTTTCTTTAACTTCATCAAATAGAATATTAACTTTCTATAATTCAAGATTATTTATTTTTATATAATCAGATACATTAATCTTTATTTTAATAGCATCTTTGAGATGTCCAATAGTCCTATTAGTTTCAATATCAACAAGAAAGGCTACAGTAAGAGAATCTCTATTAACAAGACACCAAAACATTCTAACCACCCATCTTTCTTTAGTTAAAACTGTAGCTGATAATATAATATTATTAATATAATTATCCTATCCTATAAACAAAACCAATTTGTTACAAAATTTTACACTTTTTTATAGCTTTCCATTTGTTAAACATGCATACTTGATTTTCTTTATCATGTTCTCATGCTTTGACTATATTTTTTCAAAAAGATTTCAGTTATTGCTCTAAAAGATCTGTATCTACTTGTTATAAAGATAAAAATATTAATAGTATATACAGTACTTTTTTTTATTTAGTAGCAAAAAAAGGTAGATAGTTGACTCTTCATCTATCTATAGAACCACCAGACTTTTGTATATATATATAGTTTGATTCCTCATTTAAAACCAACATATAACAAAGTTAGGGTACTTGAACTTGCAGACTTTGAAGTAGGTACCAAGAAAACAAGCCTAGTAATTTTTCCTGTCAAGACACAATCAACTAGAAGTTGCTTATACTTTACAATATTAGTAATAAAAGAAGTTAGATAGTTGACTCTTTGTATAGTAAAATAAATTTCATATCTATAGAACTACCAGACTTTTGTGTATATACATAGTTTGATTCCTCATCTAGAACCAATATATAACAAAGTCAGAGAGCTTGAACTTGCAGACTTTGAAGTTAGTACCAAAAAAAACAAGCCCAGTAATTCTTTTCTGTCAAGATGCAGTCAACTAGAAGTTGCCCGTACTTTACAGTATTAGTAACAAAAAAAAGTAGATAGTTGACTCTTTGTATAGTAAGATGAATTTTATATCTATAGAACTACCAGACTTTTGCATATACATAGTTGATTCCTTATCTAGAACCAATAGCCAACAAAGTTAGAGTGTCTGAACTTGCAGACTTTAAAGTAAGTACTAAGAAAACAGGTCCAGTAATTCTCTCTATCAAGACGCAGTCAACTAGGAGTTGCCCATACTTTACAAGTAAAAAAAACACACTGTTGCTCTTAACAAATCAACAATTTCTTGTTCCAATATTGATTCTGTCTCTTTTATAAAATGATGAGTCTATTTACTATTAAGTTCATCTTATCTTTTGTAGATATTACTGTTGCAATGAGTGTGTTATGGTATACTGTCAGAAATTCACAATAAGATATATTTTTTCATATTTTAATATACATAATAAGGTCTAGAAAGTTAAAAGATCAGTAATTAAATAATATAAATCAAAATACTGTTCATAACAAAATCTATCACTTTGGCCAAGATAGTTCTTAGTTATGATTATTATAAACAAACAATACTGCAGCCCACTATCTGCTATGAAATCACATAAAAATTACTATTTATTCTGAATTGTTGTCTGGATCATAGATAGTAAATGATCACAAGTTTTAGATTACATATTATATTGATATCAATGTATATTAGATAGGGTTGAAGCACAGTGTCCCAGAGCATGCCTCAGGTAGGGATGGTAAGTTGTTATGAAAAAATGACAATATAATTAATTAGTGTTATTAGGGATGGTAAGTTGTTACGAAAAAATGATAACATAATCAATTAGTATTATTAAGAATAGTAAGTTGTTATGAAAAAATGATAATATAATTAATTAGTGTTATTAATATTAGTTTTTTTTTAATACAGCATGAATACTCAAGAGCTACTAGACCAAATTGGCTAAAATTTTTATATATAATAGAATAATATCTACAGTATATATGATAAAAATTTAAGCTAATTTAGATTAATAGTTATCAAGATATCTATGGTCAAAGTTTGAGTAAAAATAATAAATTTTGATTACTATAAAATTTTTTCTATTTTTACTTAAACTTTGATGATGAATAATTCTATAATTTGTTATTAAAATTAGCTCAAATTTTTACTATAAATAGTATCAATATATTTCTATTATATATAAAAATTTTAGCTAATTTAGTCTAGTGTTTCTTGAGTAATTACTTGTATATGATTATTAATTTTTTAAAAAATTGACTATCATATACAAGTGATTACTTGAGAAATACCAGACTAAATCGGCTAAAATTTTTATATATAATAGAAAAATATTAACACTATCTATAGCAAAAATTTGAGTTAATTTTAATAATTAGTTATAGAGTTATCTATCATCAAAGTTTAAATAAAAATAAAAAAAATTTATAATAATCAAAAATTTGTTATTTTTACTCAAACTTTGATGATATCTTAGTAACTATTAATCTAAATTATCTTAAATTTTTACTATATATACTGTAGATATTATTCTATTATATATAAAAATTTTAGCTAATTTGGTTTAGTAGCTTTTGAGTAATCGATTGTATACAATAGTTAATTTTTTTAAAAAATTGGCTATCATATACAATCGATTACTTGAGAGCTACTAGACCAAATTATTTAAAATTTTTATATATAATAAAATAATATCTACAATATACATAGTAAAAATTTGAGCTAATTTGGATTAATAGTTATCAAGATATTTATCATCAAAGTTTGAGTAAAAATAATGAATTTTATTCTATTTAAAAATATTTTTACAAATCTATAAAATTTAAATAAAAAATTTTTATTAATTTGTGATTTTAAAAAAGTATTTTTATTAATAAATTAGTAAAAAAACTTTTTAAAAAA